TAACAAAAAAAAAAAAAAAAAAGCAAAGGATTTTCACACCATAATCCCAGCACTCTGAGAGGCTGAGGCAGGGAGATCGAAAATTTGAGCATAGCCTGGGCAACTTAGTGACTGAGCAAAAAGTGCTAGGGGTATAGCTCAGTTCCAGAAAACAAAAAAGCAAGCAAACAAAAAGCCCACTTTGTTTGGAGATGAAATCAGCAAATATGGATTCTTCTTCCTGCCTCTCCCGCTCTGCCACAGTATCAAGCAGCTCCCGGAGCAACTGGCAACAGAACCAACCTGACGGCAACCTCCGCTTTCTCTCCAGCCCCGGCCCAGTCAGCACCCAGGGCCCACTTGGGTGTTTTCTGACTCACTCTACTGTCTGAGCCAACTTTATCTGACTGGCTCTACAGACAGATTTGGGGTTGCAGAAAACACCCAGGGGGGAAATAGGGTGAAGTAGACTGGCTGCCCAGCTGGCTGCCAAGTGTTTAATGACTGACCTGTAAGCCACTTCAAAAGCTCTGTCTACATCTGAATGGCCAGGGAGGGAGTTAACAGTACACACCGCCTTGTGCCAGGGCTGGAGATGGTGACCCGAGACTGGGAGGTGTCAGATAGTCAAAGCTTGTATGGGGCTGGGGTGCAGCTCAGAAGTGAGGTACCAGTCTAGCGTGCTCCAGCTTGGGGTTCCGTCCTTACCACAGAACACAAGTCCAGAAAACCTTGCATCACCTGAGGGTGCTCTCACCACTCCAAGGGGCCACTGACTGAGCCTTCGTGATCCGCCTGCGGGAGGGGTAGAAGCCCCACAGGAGCAGGTCCCAAGAGAGGCAAACCAGTTTGTAGTTCCCGCCCTTCCGCCTGGCTTCTTGGCCCTGGATCCTCCCTCCCCTGCACTGCCCACCTCAGCAAACAGAGGCCTGGAAGAGGGCAAGCTCAAAGGCACCCTCGGGCCCCACCTGGGGAGGAACAGGGGAAGGGAAGGAGCCGTCACCTGGGCTGAGAGGGAGGAAAGCTGTTTCCACCACACTGCCCTCTAGCACCTCACTTCACAGCATCCGGCAGGAAACATTTCAGGGCATCCCTGGTCTCCACACTCTGTAGCACTCTGCCTTCCCACCCCTACCAACCTGGGGTGCTCTGCAGTGTCCTGGGCAAAGCCCTAGGCTGTGCCAGTGGTTTTTTTGGTTGAGACAGGGTCTCGCAATGCAGTTCAGGGTAGCCTTGAACTCAATACTAGGCCAGGCTGGGCTTAAACTCAGTGATCCTCCTGCCTCATTCTCCTCAGTGCTGGGATTACAGGTGACCACCACGCCCTGCTGGGTTGGCATCCTATACCAAGGGACCTGGGGACAAGCTCTCCTCTGAAACAAGCTAGGACTTCCAGACTTGGGAGGGAATGGGGAAGAGCCATACAAGGGACAATGAGTGAGCCCCTGAAGTCTGTGGTCACAGCGTCCTAGGAGGGGCAGGCCAGACAGCCCTGCCAAGGGATGGGGCTTCTAAAAGGACTGAAATCTTCTCTGCAGTGAGCCTGAGCCTTATTAGTTCCCCACTGCTACCGCAGCAAATCAGAGAGGCTCAAAATGACACGGATTTATTCTCTGACAGTTCTGGAGGCTTGGCGCTGAAATATGTCTCACTGAACTCAAGGCTAGGTAGGTGTCAGCGCCAGGGCCTCCTGGAAGTTTCAAGAGGAGAAGCAATTTCCTTGCCTCTGGTTTCTGGAGGTGGGTGGCCTGCATTCCAGACCCTTTCTTCAACTTCCTGTTTCTATCTGCGTATCTCCTACTTTCTCTCCCACCCACTGCAATTACATCCAGCCCATCTAGGTACTTCAGGATCATCTGCCTCAGGATCCTTGGTTATATCCAGGAGCCTCTTTGTCAGATAAGGGTTACAGGTTCCTGGGATGAGGACCCAGGCACCCACAGGCAGCTCTCAGCCTATGACACTGAAAGCTGCAAGATAGCTCCACCCTCCTGGTGCTTCTGCAGCTGGGAGGAAAGGGCAAGGGACTTCCTGTCTCAGGCTCAGCAGGGTCCTTCCTAACCTTGGCAAGGTCTGAGTGTCTCCAAGGCTCCCCTTAAAAATTTCCTGAAGTGTCACCGTGAAAGTCAGGCGACGAGCCTGAGCCTGAATCTACGTGCTGGTGAGAGGTGCGGGCCAGGCCAGAGACCAGTGCTCCCTTCCTAAACCAGCTCATGGCCAGGAGCAACATAGAAGAGGTCTGTAGCCTGTGAGGGAGGCCATGGATGAGTGGGGGCCACTGGGCCACTGCATGGGCCAGTGAAGTGCAGCTGCAGAGGCTGGCCTGCTCACTCCGGCCCACAGAGATGACAGGCGGTGACTGGGAGCGACTCCAGGGTCACGGAGAGTACATCCGAGGGAAGTGTCCACCAAAGTCCTGGCCCCTGGGCTTTTCCTTTAGTGATGAGGAGCAGAGGGTGGCGGCCAAGCAGGAAGGCAGGGAGACTTTCTCGCTACCTCTTCTCCATGTTCTGCATCTGCAAACTGAGGGAGGTGAAACTGGCCAGGAGGTCGGTCACTTCATCCACCTGCAGGACAAAAACCCAGGCTCTGTGCCAGGTGCCAAAGCACCAGGGTCCCTCCATCATCCTCATCACAGGCTCAGGACGAAGACGCCTCTCCTCCCAGGGGACATGGCGGCCTGTCTCTCTATGGGACAGTTGACACCAGGGTGCAGGGCCGTGCAGCTTCAGGGGATGTGTGAGGAGGCACAGGCACAGCCTCCTCTGCTGGAGCATCCAGCTGTGCAGGTGAGGGCTGGCCTGGCCTGAGGCTCACCTGCTCCTTGGTGCTGGTCATCTGGAGGCGGGTACAGAGGTCGTCCAGGCGCTCACGCTGCTCGTGTCGCCCCAGGCGCTCCAGGTACTCCCGCAGCATGTGGATGATCTGGAGGGAGAGTAGCACTGAGCCACCGGGGCCTGGCAGGAGGCATGGGGAGCTCACGGGCACAGGGCAGCATGGCTTGCTAGCCTGGCTCCTGTCCTGTCCTGCACGGGCCTGGCACCTGCACTCACCTGCTTCACCTCCAGCCGCACAGCCTCCAGGCACTGGGAGTGGCCCTCCTGCAGGATGTTCAGCTTGGACTTGGCCAGGTGCAGGGGTGTGCGGCCTGCGCGGTCCAGGGCATCCACGCGGGCCCCTGAGGGAACAGGCGGGGTGAGCATGCTGGGGATGAGGGTGAGTTGAGAGGGGAGAAAGGACCACGTACCTCCTCGCAGCAGTGTGGTGATGACAGGGACATGGTTGGTGCAGGCCGCTGAGGAGGAAGAACAGGGACTTAAGAGTCCAGGCCCAGAGGGAGGAGGGAGCAGGATTATCTCCCAGTGTGCCAGGGCCAAGTGATGCCTTCTGAGAAGGTCACCGTCACCAGACAACAGCTGGGAGGATGAAGCAATCAGTCCAACCCACTCCCTTTACAGTTGGGAAACCTGAGGCCTGGAGATGGAACCTGCCTCCCTACAAGCTACAGTGTGAACCAGTGGCAAGGCTGGAACCGCCAAAGGCCTCACAGCCACAGCCCATGACAGAGAGGCTATGAAGCTATTCTAGCTGTGAAGTCACGGTGCAGAGGCGGCTGAGGGCCCATGGGACACAGGTGCCTGGGAGTGCGGCCCGGGGCGCAGGCTCTGCCCAGCTCTGGGAAACGCTGCCAGAACCAGCAGGACCCCAGGCTCCACTGCCACACCTGCTGATGCTGCAAGGTGACTGGGGATTTCCGGGCACTCACCCAGGTGCAGCGGTGTGTTCCCCAGCCCGTCACGCTGGTTGGGGTCAGCCCCGTGGTCCAGGAGCAGCTGCACTGCAAACAGGGAAGCCCAGGAGACATTGTGAGATGCTGCCTCTGTGTGGACCCACAGCCTCACTCAGCACACGGCCAGGACAGCGCTGTTCGGTTGTTTCACCCACTCACCGCTTACCACTCACCACTCACCAGGGCTCATGTGCAGGGCCCCGCGGCCAGGAGCTGAGGGCTCCAGGAGGGTCTCTTGGCCCATGCAGGTGCTATGCAACTGAGGTTGTTCTCCTTCTTTCTTTTCCCTCTTTTTCTTTTTGTAGTACTGGGGATTGAACCCAGGGGCACTCTACCGCTGAGCTACATTCCCAACCCTCTTAAAAATGTATTATTTCTGCCTGCCTTGCAAGCACAAGGACCTGAGTTCAATCCCTGGTACCAAAAAAAAAAAAAAAAAAAAAAAAAAAGGATTATTTCAAGATAATGTTTCACTAAATTGTCTAGGCTGGCCTCAAACTTGAGATCCTCCTGTCTCAGCCTTCCAAGTAGCTGGCATTAGAGATGTGCGTCACCAGGCCATGTGTGACTGAGGTTTTTAGGGTTATGGAAAGTGCTAGCGAAGGCTTCCAAAGGTGCTTCTGCTTTTCCCACAACCAAGTGCCACAGTGAGAGTAAGGCCAGCGGACGATGCTAAGCTCCATGAAAAACCTCCTCCTCCCTGATGAGGGCCTCTCTGGGCCACTCGGGGTTGGCTGTGGTACTGCTGTGGTTTGCTAATTACCCAGTCAGACACACAGGTGAGCCAACTTGGGTCCAGGACACTGCACGGGGAAGCTGAATCTCACATCACCCACAGCAGCTAATTCTGGAAGGACCACAGACCTAACTGAAAACTGAAACAGTCAGGATTCTAGAAAACAAACAGGAGAATATCTTCTCAACTATGGAATAGGCAAAGATTTCACATGTAGTCACAGAACCAGTAACCATTCAAAAGATTGAAAATCTAATCTGGGCGTGGTGACTCACGCCTATAATCCTAGCACTCAGGAGGCTGAGAGGCAGGAGGATCGCTGTGAGTTCAAAACCAGCCTGGGTTACATAGTGAGTTTCAGGTCAGTTTCAACTACATAATGAGACCCTGTCTCAACCACCCCCCAAAAAAGATTGATAATCTAAATTCATTAAAATTAGGAAGTTAAGTTCATTAAAAGGCACCACTCAGAGACTGCAAAGGAAATTTTAAAAAGACGAGTCAGGTATGATCAGTAAATGATTTATATCCAGAATGATAAAGAATTCCTATGGTCAGGAATGGGGGCACACACCTGTAATTCCAGCACTAGGTACAGGAGGACTGCAAGTTCAAGACAGCCTGGGCTATACAATGAGTTCAGGGACAGCCTGACCACACGGCAAGACCGTCTCAAAAAAAAAAAAAAAA